CTATTTAAATTATTCTTTTCTATTCTGCCTATCTCAGTACCTTTGATGTCCATCGTTGCCTTATGTTCTCAATCCTTTAGCAATCATTTTAGTAATTTTATACTTTAAAGGCTTCTCAAGGCAGAAATACAACCTTACCATTTTAAAACTTGGTGTTGTGGTTTAACCTGGCAGGTGGCTGAATGCCACACAGTCGTCCGCTCACTCGCTCCCTTCCCACTGGGATAGAAGAAGAGAATTAGGAAAAAAAAACAACAAAGTAGGACTCGTAGGTTGAGATAAAAATATTTACTGAGATAGAAAAAAAGGGTTAGAGTCATATATTCATATATACTAGTGTATATAACAAGTGATGTGGAAGCAGTTGCTCACCACCCACTGACCAATGTCCAGCCAGTCCCTGAGCAGTGGAAGAGGGTGAGATGAACTCCTTTCAAAACTCTTTCTACATGACGTCTTATGCCCTGCTCACTAGTTAGCCATTGTGTCATCTTGCTGCCTGCAGCCTGCAGTTCAGATTCTAGCTGCAAAGTCAGATACTTCATTGGATCAATACCACTGAACCACTTCTGCTGCATCCTGTTGCTCAAACAATCTCTGTACAAGGTGAGCTGAGCAGTGCCCAGATGTATAAAGCTGCCACCCCTCCCAGCCTGTCCAGCTTGCTCACCTTAACTCCTGTCAGCGCCACAAAGCAAGCTGGCACAGATGAGTCATTCGGTACAGATTTGGCACCACTCTTTCCTATTTTGGTGATACTCAATATGTTCAAAATGCCTCATTTTGCCTTGCTTCTCTTTCTATTATAGCATAACAGCCAAGACACTTTGACTCCACATGGGAAAATTCTGGCAAATACCAAGCTCTGGCAGTCCTTGCCAAGAGCAGCATCTAGATGCCTGGCTGCTCTCCTTTCACCCCCTGGGCTATTTGATTGTTGGCTGTGAAACTGTTGTTGTGGCTAGTGCAAGGCTGTGGTTCTGATAAGATTTCCACGTCTGTATTATTACCTCTATTTTGTGTAATAGTCTTCTGTGCTAATCAAGCTGCCAGCCACAGCCACCAAGCACGTCTGCTAGCCACCCCAGGAGGCATCCTCTGAATTATTTACCTGCACTACAAGAAGGAAAAGATGACATTTATGCATTTAAAATTATTTCCATATATTTGCTATTTTATTGTAGTTCTGCATCAAATAGTCAAAAGGCATAGATTGATTTGTATTCCCTTCTGCATATATAGCCTCTCTGCATCTGTTCATAATTCTACAGCTAAGGTATATACTTTCCAGCAGATGATTTCCAGGGAATTGTTTCTTCGGCTTCTTTTGCAATACCTGCCTTACAGATAGTGCCAGAGCATGAACCTTGTGCAGGCAGATAACAGCCATACAGGCTACACCCACTCGCCCATGCTCACGTGTTCATATAAACCTCAGAGTCTATAACCTGCTGACATTGTTTAAATTAAACACAAGAAAACAAAAAAACTCCGTGAGGCAGTACTAAATTTCACTTGTGCAACACAGAATAATTCTAAAATAAGCAGTAATTGGCATTCCAGAGAACACAGGTTTGTATACATCCATACAGACATATCAACATGCTTAAGATTTTCAAAACAGAGTGGGTGCAAATAGGCACATAAGTTCATGTTTAACCACCGAAACATGGTCTGATTTTCAAGACTGCCACGTATCAGCAGATCCCATTGGAGTCAAACATAAAAAGTGAAGTTCTGTATTCTATATTTGTATTTTTATAGTGCTTTTCTTAATGAGTTTATTCTAAATCTTTTGCTAGCAGAGTCCTAAAAAGAAAAAAAAAAAAAAAGGAAGAGAAACAAATAAACAAACAAACAAAAAACCCAGAACAATTATCTTAGCTGTACTGCAGTATACTCACAATAAGTAAAAATGTGGGAAAGACAGAGTACTACTTTTACATTATCCTGTGCCAAATCACAGGTTATACAATTCAGTTTTTTATTTGCACAGCCATCAGTGCTTTGTAGAGCAATCAGGGAAGATAATACAATCCATTTTAAATTCTCATTACTTTAAAAGTGTTGAATCTTCTTAAATTGTTTCAGGGTTAATTGAGAATTTGCAGTTTTACAATGGAGTGTGAATTGTTTAGGTTGCCCTGGTTTCATATGTTTGTGCGTATCTTTGTTGCAAAGTTATAAAAACAACAATAAAAAAAAAGTGAAACGAATGGATCTGTGTTGCTATCATTCTAGCAACTTGTTTTTACAGGAGATAAAGTTCAGCTATTGATTAGTGTTCAAATGGTTAGGTGAAGGGACATGCTGTGTTGATGGAATGTCTCATTTTGTGTTAGCAGTTGCCTTTGCTTCTTCTCCATGTATTACCTAACGGATAGTTTCTGCTCCTGGGGAAGGAAGCCAATGGTTTAGAAACTCTCAGTGACTTCTGTTGGAGCATAAGCAAGCCATGTGTTATGAGTCTTAGCGAAGAACAGCATTCACACAGCCACTGTCTATTAGCACCTCATTCTTTAGAAATGAGAGTATCCTACTGATCTTTGGAGTATGAAGTCAACCTATAGATCGGTTTATTTAAATGGTCCTGTGAGCCACATGGCAAATCCATAAGGATTCCGGAGCTCTGTGTGTTCTAGAGCGAAATTCAGGTATTTCTCTGCGTTCATCTAACCCAGTTTTAATGGATACCTGATATGTGGCCTGGGAAAAGATGCTTCTGTCCTGTTTCTCAGGCATAAGTAACTGCACCTGTGCTGCCTAGCTCATGAATGAGGAATCTGGTATGCCCAAAACTTGAACCTTTTTAAGCAATCAATTTTATTCCTGCTGAAGATTATGGTGACCGTGCCCCCAAATTACTGTCTTTGCTTAATGATGTCTTCCTGGGGGATTATTTCACATTTTGACTTGTTGCTGGGATGAGGGATGGGAGGGGACCCATTCTTCATTTCATTAAAACAGCTTCTGGATGATGACAAAGCAGAAATTTTATACGCCTGAGACAAGAACTGGGGCTTCAGAAGCAGCTGGGCAGGACAGCTAACATTGCCCCTTCATTGTCAGGGATGGTAACAGACATGCCTTAGTTTGTTAGAGGGATCTAGCAACTGACTGTGGTTTATATTTCCTCTTCCCAGAGGAAAAAGATACCAAAGCAAGCCTCTGAAGTAGGAATCCAATGAGACCATATCTCTGGTTGGCCTGCAACTTTTCTTTCCTCTTCTAGCAAATACCATTTTCTTTCTTTTTACATGCTTTATTTTTTCCTAACAATCTGTTACATTTGTTTCCTTGCTCAGGAAGTAGTTGCACTGATAAATTATGATTGTTTTTCACACCATTATCACACAGAACACGTTTCACACAAGCACCCTCACAAGGCACTGGTTTCACACAAGCTCTTTAAACAACAACAGGTTTCATGTCAGTTGTTTATCATTTAAAATGTCTACAGAAGTTTTTATGGCTGTTCAGGCCCTACAGCATTCACTACAAAAAAAAAAGGATAAACATGTTGTTATACTCAGATTATTTATCTGAGTTTTTGTCTAAAATATTTAAAATTTCATTGGAAAGGGAATTGCTGCCAGTTAATTTAGTTCTGTATTATTATGTTGCTTAATATATTTAACTGAGTTAAAATCAGGCCCTAATAATGAACATTCTTATGATTATCACTTCAGTTAAAGCAGGTAGTTCTTAGTGCAGAAAGTCCACAAACTCTCTAAATATTTCCAGTATCTGGGTTTAAACATTTGTGCTGATTAATACAAAGAAAGCATCATAGCAAATTTTGTACTACTGAATTTTGGCAGACAGCATTTTCAAATTCAAATTTCCTCAACATGGGTGTGGTGGAATTGTTCTAAGATTCTGAACATTTGTATGGGAATTGCTGAGTCCCAGCCTGAACCACTGTTTGAGCACCTGGGGAAAGAACCTGGTCAGCCCTGGGAGCACAGGTGAAGGCAATTCACCTCTGGCTGCACCTCTCTTAGGTCTCATTTAAGGGCTGAGTGACCATGAGGAAGGATCTCTTTCTGGAGATCCCTCCTTGGTGAAGCTTTTCCCTGTGAACCTGGAATCTTCTGATATGGGTGAGCAAACTTCTTAGATTCCTTTATAGCATCTTTTGTGCTGGTCCTTTTATCATCACACCTTTGTTGTAATGCCTTTCCTATCATACTGGTCTGTCCAATTGCAACAACAACAACTATATCAAATTATTAGAAGCAAAAAGCAATGGATCAAAAACTGCAGGACAAATGCATGCAAACTGAACGTCTGCATGCATCCAGATCCCAAGTCAGGCCTAATGAATCAAAACTCTTTTTTGATATCATACCTTGCAGTTTATTGCATCTCCAGACCCATCTTAAGTAATTAATTGCAAGGGAAAAAAATGAAAAATACTTGGAAAAGCAAAAAAAGTAAATAAATCTGAGTTCAAGCAGAACTTTGAGTCTAGAAGAAGAATGTGAGAGGATTTATTTAGTTCGTAAATACCAATGCTACTGCAGAGGCCTGCTGAAAGCATTTGGATTCTTTAGCTGTGTAACAATCCAAAGGCTGTAAATAGGAAGGAGATCCTATATAATGTTTCAGATATTGATTTCTCTGTCAAGCTCTGGGGCTTCAAGTATTGGCTCAAATCTGTGTTTCTTTGTCAAATGAACCTAACAATAACACTCCATCTCAAAAGGCACCAAGTTGTTGGGTTTTTTTAAGCTGTACGTGATCCACTCCATAAAAGCCTATGATTGAAAAGGCATATTCTTCTATAGCAATGTAATGGTTTTATTTCTAAATATACGAATTGGTAATGGTTATTTTCTTTTTACTTAGGTATTCGGTTTACAAGGATCCAGCAAGCTGGCTGGAGATTAATCCCACCAATGGTACCGTTGCCACCACTGCAATCCTGGATCGGGAATCTCCTCATGTTCAGAATAACATATACACTGCTCTCTTTTTGGCAATAGACAGTGGTGAGTAACTGCTATGGATTATATTCACTAAATATATAACTGTATTTCTGTTTGAAAGCTCCTCTTGGGAAAGGTACACATGCATATGATTAAGCACTTTGTTAGCTGGCCATCTGAAGATACAAGAGATCACTGCAATAACAAAGAAAAAACATCAAATTCAGAATAACTTTGATTTAAGGTTACATCTCAAATGTTTACTCCTTTGCTGAGATCTCAATAAGAGATGCAAATAGTATGTGAATATTCTTGGAAAGTAATAAATTGTCTTTATCAGAGTTAATTTCTTCATAATATTTGAGCAGTTAGTAAGCCTAAGGCATCTTAGTTCCAATAACAACTTGTCCCTGATATGCTGAATTCTATTCTATTCAATGCAGTGACAATGGCAATAAAAACGTAAGTAAAAACCCTTGTTAAAGTGCAATATTTTTAAAATATTATGAGGATTAAAGTTCCTTCTGTCAAATATAATCAGAATTAAACTACCTAGTGAAAATTCAGTAAGCGACTTTTGTAGCATAAAGAAAAGAGAAAATCGTGAACATTTTTGCAAATCTCCAGAGCTAACGGCACCAAATAAATAACAGATTTGTCCGTAATAGAACAGCTAATATGGTAACGTTTCCTCACAGCTGCAGCTGGTTGAGTCCTGGTGATGAATTGCAAAATGTTCTTTTTAGGACAGTAATTCTATATTTTTGTAACCACATGACTCAGGGAACATTTACAGGGACTGATGGGTTGGGGGGGAGGAAAAAAATAAGTATCTCCTTAAATATAAAAGATAAAAACTCTGCTGACACGATGATTTCCTTATCATTCATACACATACTTTTGCTATGGAAATTTCCCTAGAAAAATGTAGCACTAAACTTATTCTGTTTTTAACTTGCTATCAAATAAAGAAGTTTAAAACGCATCTTAAAATATGGCACACCAGGAAATATCACCTTAGGATGAAAGTAACATTCCAGGATAATATTACTGAGGGATTATGAAAAGAACAAAGTTTCACATGTTTTAAAGGTGAAGTCAAATGCCCTCAACAAGAAGAGGTGGAACACTCAACTATAAAATGTTGATTACTACTTACTGTGAGAATCAGTCTGTATGAAGATGGATTTTCCTTACTTTTGGGTAGATGTTTATCTTACTCTCAGCACAGTAATGCTCATTACTCAGCCATTCTAAAGCAGGAGCCTTATTGCTCAGTGAACCCTCTTCATTCCCAGAACTTTTTCCATGCTAGAAAAACAAGAAGAGGAAGAGGTGTGTAAAAGGTACTCTACACAGCAGAGCAAGAGACGATGTGGTAACATGGGTTGGACATAAAGGAATTGTGTTCAGCTGACATACTGAGTCAGCATCTAATTCTAGCAGCTGTTGTGTTTATTTCTAATTTGGTAGTCCTGTTAGCACAGGAGCTAATCTACTCCACATTATTGACTTATTTAATGAAGTAATTAGAAACCACATGTGTGCATTTAGTACCGGCATGCTAAGGTGCCAATACTGGTCATTCAAACATGATGTTTACTGTGCTGTGTGTCTGTGAGCTGTGTGCTGATTATTTTTTTTTTAATGGTATTTATAATGTGGCAAGATTCTAAAATGAAATAAAAATTTGGACATTGGTCCTTGCAAAAGGACCTTAGTCCAACATTAAAAGAAGAAATTATTTTCTGCTAGTATTCATGGCATATAGAATGTATTAACTGCAGAAGGGATTCTGTTATCCATCATACTCCATCGCTGCCTGTTTTTCAAATCACCACACACTGCAATCTTATTTCAGCTGTAGAGGCAGCTGAAGGCAAAACTCATGGTGATACTTTTTCTTCACCTTCCACTGATACCAGTGGAGAAGCTGTTACTGGATGCATCAGGCACTGACTGCTGATATTGCCCCTCAGGGCAGGGGGCAAGTGGTGGGGTGTTTTTCTGTTGAGTAAAATGTTTGAGATTTCAGCCAGAAGTAAAAACAGGAGCTTCATAGTTGTGGTTCTTTATATAAATCCATCACATCTCTATCTCTTTCAGTAAATCACATAAGCTTGCTTTATGTGTAGGACAGTAAACATGAGAGAATTATTAGAAAATGGAGTCATTCAAGTGCAGAAAATAATACAGTTATTTATTGTATTCTTTTTGAACTTGATACTGTCATGCAATGAACTGAAGAGAAATTTAGCTAAGTATGAACTATATTAGATCTGCTCTACACAGTTCCTATACGTTCCCAAACATAATTTAAACAATGAGTATGAGCACATTTGATGGACACAGTATTAATTTCATAGATAATAAAGTTTGACCTTTTATTGAGGGAAATTTCACGGTAAAAACTTTTTGGAATGAATATCCTAATTTGCTCTGTACTTCTGATTTCAGTAAAGGTCAAGGTAGTGTCGTTAGAATTTGAAAACTCTTTATTAAAGACTTGTGTGGACACAGAGTCTCTGGTCTATTAAAGAAGAAATTAAATAATGGTAGGAAATATCATGAAGCAGAGTTAACACACTGATGTGTCATGAACTGTGTTTAATCTGAGAATGAGCTCATAAGAGGACAAAGTCAGGTTTATGCAAACTTGGTTTCATTCAATCTAATCGGTGGTTATCAGGATTAAGAAAAGTGCCAACAGTGATGAATAAAGGAAACAAAATGGTCACCGTTCTAACCACTAAAAACAATGCAATATCATAAAGTACAATTATTGGGAGTATATGTATAAACAACGCATATATGGGCAATAAATCACTTGAGTTTGAGATACCTGCTTGGATCAGACCTTCCAGGTGATTTGCTGTGTAATTATGTTGTACAAATCTCGTTACATTCTGGAGCATTTGAGGTGACTCTCATAAAGCATAATACCCATATGTTTTTCTCATAAAGGCTGTCATGCTAAAAACTCTCTTGGAATTGTCCTTTTTCAACTGTATTCTGAGAGTCTGGCTCACAATTTGGGGGGTGGGAGGGGAGGAAAAAAGGAAAAGTTTAAAATTTAGAATTGTCTGGAAAATATGTAACAGGTTAAAAAAGCTGAGTAATGTTTTACACCTTTTTTTTTGAGAGAGAGAAAAAGGAATAGTAATATAGATCCAAACAGTTTTCTCTGAAGTCAATGAGCAGTATTACTGCAGAGGAATTGTATGCCCCAGTTAATGTTCCAATTATATAAATTCTCCAGGTCTATAGAAGAACTTTGATTACTTTTGTTTGCTTGATATATGGAAAGCCACCTGTGCTGGTCAGGTAGGACAGCTGCTGGTGAGAAATGTGGAAATGCCAATATGCAATCTTACTGGCTCATTTAAATACTGATAGCAACTGCAGTTTCCCATGACACTGTGGCAGGGTACAGCCTGCACAAAGCCAGGCAGCAGTGCTTTCCCACTGAGACACAAACTCTGGTGTCCTGCTGGTGAGCCAGCTTCTCCCCTGCTATTCTCATCACCAGGGGTCTACTGAGGAAAAAAATTGGGAATAGAAGTATTTGTGCTATGTTAAACATAGAAGAGGGCAAATGTCATTAAAAATTGTGTTACCTGTTCCGTATGTTAAAGATACTCAGTTCAGAGTTTACAATTTAAACTGATACAACTTTAATCACAGCAGTAATCCATGAGTGAAAGCCACCTTTTTCTTTTCCAAAAGTGTCTTGCTCTCCTTGTGACATCACCATCCCCAAGTTGCACTGGCCAGTGCAAGGATTTTGCTTCATGCTGAGGCCAGTTGTTCATGTATAAACTAGGTAGCTGAGTTGCACTGCTTCAATTTCTCTGTTCCTCATTGAAAGGAAAATGAGAAGGAGGTGAGTCAGGATCTAATTTTCACCTCTTTCCTTGTTTCCAAGGACCATCTGAAATACTTTCAAGCATTCATTGTGCAGTTCTTGATACTCTTAATCATTAGAAGGAAAAATTGTCATTCTGTAGCATGTGTAATGAACAGAAACAGACAACAGCTAGAAAATAATTGAGTGACAAAGAGATGTGTCACCATTTGCAAATAGAATTTTTCTTTACATGTACCTAACCTGTCTTCTTGCTTCATGATGTACATAATTAAATTACCACAGATTGATTCCGCCTAAAACATGCTATTTTTGAAGAAATCAGGCAATTAGTTGCCATAGCAACCCAATTAAGCCGGTTTTATACTCCTTATCTTAATTGCTGTATTAATTGAGAAGAGAAAATAAACGGGGTACTTATCCTTTTCTTGCCATTTTAAATTTCAGCAAAATATGAATTGCACGCAAAATATTGTTTTAATTTGTCATCATGGACTCATGATTAGGAAAAGAAATTAGAATGCTGAAAACAGTATTTAAGACGGATGGCATATGTCAGTAGCAATTTGATATGCTGAAAGAGCTGTGCTCTTGTGAAATGTAATTACTCAAAAATAGGATCTGCATATTTTGTCTGAGTGAATGAACGAAGCACTGCAACTTTCAAAAACTATTTTATGTTCTGGAAAAAAGAAATCGATATGTCAATGCGTATTTTTAAAACAGGAAATTTCAACTTCATGGGAAATTCGGGACCTCTTCCATAGAAAATGTCAGTATGTGGCATTCATAAGGCCAGATTTCAAGTATGTCAGACTCTGAGCAGCACACCCAAATCTTGGTATTTTCCCACTCTATTGGTTCCATTTACTTTTCTTGAACCGTTAATGGAGTTCAGCTGGAACACAAAACATAATGGAACAGGGCTGTCTGAATGGGATTTATGCCTGCAGTGCGAGTGCCTGCTGCCAGATCACCTCATATGCACACACTGTCTGATGCGAAGCACGGTGTATGGAGGAAGAAAAGAAACAGGAGAGAGCAGACTCCAAAACTTCAGTTTAGATTTTCATGGCAGTATCATTAGAGAGCACGAAGCATTGTTTCTCACAATCTGTATTTGAAGTGAACTTAGAGAGAGCCTAAAACACAGCCTGTGTCCACATAGCCTGGCTTTGTGAATTTCTGAAATGCTCCTTTTGTTCCTTGTTCTCCTCCATCTTGCTCTATTAAGTAGAAGGGAACAGCTTCTCCTTTAGGCAAATGTGAAGCTGAAAGTAGAGAAACTGGTAAAAAATAAATCCACGTCCAAGTGAAGATCTTAGGCAGT